TATCTATTGACTCGAATGTTTTTCTATTAAATATAAAATTATAGGTAAAATTCTATTTCAAATTCTATTTCAATTTTAACGCGAATTTTATTCAGGATATTATTAAATCATAGTTTAAAAATAAATATGTATGTATTGTAAAAATAAATATGTGTATTAAAATTTTTAATTGATACAGGAAAAATGATTTTACATATTTAAAAAGAATGTTTGATCCAGCTATAATTCTAAATGTTACGGTGAAACAATGAATCATTGTTTCTTATTTATTTGTTAGAAAATTGGCTGTCACGTAAAATTTACAGTAGCAACATTTAACAATGTATACAAAAAAATTTAGATCTGATAATCAAATCACATGGTTTTATAAGAGATATAACTGAGCGCCATAGAGAGATTTTCTTGTCAAATTTGATAAATTATTCATATATAAATTCTGTCATTGTCATTTATATTGATCAGATACGAAAAATATATGATATCACAGTGCTTGCTAGTTATTACTTATCTATTTTAGCTAATTTTCCGTATTTAGATAATTTTCACTATGACTGCTAGATTATTTTTTAGTGCAGAAATATTTAAAAATTTGGCCAGATATAAATCCGAAAATAATTTTGTTGAATCAAAATAATTATGTCCAAGGTGCAAATTAGTTGCTGAAATATCAAAATTTTTTCAGTATTATTTTCTTAAACACTTTACATAATTATTTTGATGGTCCAACAAAATTACTTTTACTAATAGACTTTAACAAAACTGTTGTTTTCGCCTACTTTTTAGAAACTTTCTTAAGTTTTTACATTTATTTTATAATCAGTAGCTGCAATTTTTACGAGAATATTTACAAAGACGGGATAATTTAATTGATCACCCGACTTGGATCTCGAGAGAGACAAATGTAAAATATTTTAGACGTTCTTTAAAGGCAGAATTTTTGCAGCAACTCCAACCAGGAATAATAATATCCAAGGACAGGATAATTCGAGCCGATATCTTAGTCGATCGTCTCGAAGAATCACGTCCATTAATTCGCGAACGCATCGAGGCGTCCCGGGCAATTTTAATAACTCACCACCGTCGTATAATGCGGCCGGTCGTAAAACACTTTACAACTCGCTTCAATAAAAAAACAATTCAACAATTTCCCCGTCGGGATCAATAACGGATGAAAGGCGATTGGATCGCGGCCCGCCAATCGGTGGAGTCGCGATAACAGAGGGTTGGATTTCGCGGATTCTGCGCCATCGAATCGACGATCTCATTGGCCCCGTCACAACCGAGGGGGTTGTAACATTTTATCAGGATGGAACTTTACGGATATGGACGCTCCGAGCAACGGGGACGACATTGCGCCAAACGAAAAAGAAAAAAACGGCGACTTTTGTCGCGCTCTTTTTGCCAACATATATTGCCGTGACGTACGTACAATGGAGCTTTCCCGAACATCGAGAAAATTCTGGTCACGTACTTTTTTAAATTGATATAGGTTACGAAAAAGTCACTCTAAGTCAGCGACGGCAAAAGCGATACTGAAACATTTATTCAATGACGCATCTCGAATGCTCGTAGATCCATCGAAGAAATATAAGACGCAAAAAGTGGGAACATTTGCATAAGAATAGCACGAAATAAGATCAACATTGGAAAAGTGAAATAAAGAGAAGAAATAAACATGCTATCATACTGTTATACATGCTTTTATACTGTTGTAAGATCAATTTATTTATATGGAAAGAACAATTTTATTGAAATATTCAAAAATTTGGCTAGATACAAATCTGAAAATAACTTTGTTAGGCTATCTCAAAATAATTACGCAGAACATTTAAATTATTTATATATATAAAATATAAAAATTTTTTGCAATATCATCATACATGCTTAAGTATAATTATTTTAGTCTAGCAAAATTATTTTCAAATCTGCATTTGATTAAATTTTTAGATAGTTTAGCAAAATTATTTTTTTCTGTGTTAGAATTCTTTAGCGAGAATAAAGATTGAAGTAGCGTAAGAGGGAAATCGTAAAAGGGCAAATGAAACTTATGAAAAACGTAAATTGAAATATTGAAACATAAAACGAAGTCTCAAAAGTCATCTTAGAAATAAATTTTTATTTTACATTTCAATACTCTAATTTATGCCTTCTAGAAGCTTTATTTACATTTCGATTGTTCTACTTTTATGCTATATTGAGAAAAAAGTTATACTAATGATGAACAAAAAAAGAGAATTATTCACAAGTAGTTGATTTTTATTAGACAATTTTGTTCAAATAGCAAAATATAGTGTTTTTTCTTTTTTTATTAAATAAGCAAACTTTTTTTAATAACACAATTTTATTTGGTTACTTACATTTTGTAAATAATAATATAAAATTGGGTTGCAATTACAAAATAAATTTTCTTTTAGTAATTTTAACAAAAATAATGTATTACGGTACAACATATGTATTTTTATTAAGCGTAATAAGTGTAGTATTTTGTTAAGCGTTTGTGTGTGTGTGTGTGTGTGTGTGTGTATGTGTGTGTATTCTAATGTTTTTGTGTGTTCTTTTTGTAAAATATTTTTATTAAGTATTTGTATTTAATGTGTTTTGTGTATTTGTGCGTGTTTAATAAATTCAATAAATTAATATTATAAATTAATATATAATTCAATAAATTAATAAAAACTCACGATTTGATTATATATCAACAAATAATTTTAATATCAGTAACAAAATTTTTGTTATTCATTTCAAATATTTCTCTCAGTGTACTCATGTTTCGGTTTATAGCGTCACTATAAGGAAATATTGTACGTAATTAGATTGTATGTTATTTTTATTAATAATATTACTTTCATGTTTAGTTTAATTTAATAAAGTGCTTGTATTTACATATTGTTTTTAGATGTTATTGTCTGTTTATAGATGTTAATTTTGGTCAGATAGTATAATATACAAAGTATCCGGTATCGGTCATATCACCTTTCGTGGGCAGATAAAGCTGATAAAACTGAATAGAAAAGTCCTCTATTTTGTAATTTCCGTGATAATTATATGAGTTATTTAATTCTTAAAAATCACTATGTTAGCCCGGCAAATGCAAGCACGCGGTAAGCTAAGTCGAGTTTTTTAATTCATCGGTTGATTAATCGCGTAATGCGCAAATACTGCTTTTACAGCCAAACTTGCATATAATGCGATTTATTAATTGAATTAACATTTGGCCTTCTAAAATGCCATACGGTTTGGCGTTTGATGCACATAACCTCAAAAATCAATAGTGTTCACGATGGCAATAACAAAAGAGCATATTCGATTTTCCATCCACTTCGCGTTTCATCTGAAGAAAAATGCTGCTGAAGCCACTGCAATGATTTGTGCTGCATATGGAGAAAACGCTATAAGTCATGCTACATGTAAAAGATGGTATCAAAAATTTCGCCAAGGAGATTTCAGTCTTGAAGATGAACCGCGTGCTGGACGCCCTCAAAAAATTGAAACGGACGAATTGCAAGCACTGCTGGATATAAACTCTGCGCAAACTGAAAAGGAGCTTGCAGAACAGCTTGGCGTTACGCAGCAAACCATTTCCGACGTTTACATACGATGGGAAAGGTTCAGAAGGAAGGCAGATGGGTTCCGCATGAATTGTACCGAAGACAACAAACATCGTTTGGCGTGACACTGCACTCACTTTGACTTTCAAAGTTCCGGAAAAAAGATTTTCTGCACAAAATCATTACAGGCGATGAAAAGTGGATTCTTTATGATAACCCTAAACGTAGAAAATCGTGGGTTGATCCTGGTCAACCTTCGACATCGACGCCAAAGCCCAATATCCACGCCAAGGAGATTTTGCTCTGTATCTGGTGGGATTGGAAAGGTGTGTACTACGAGTTGTTACAACCGGGTGAAACAATCACGGCAGATCGCTACCAACAACAATTGACCAATTTGAGCGATGCATTAGAAGAAAAGAGGCCATTTACTGGCTAAGAACGTCGGAAGTGATCTTGCTTCATGACAATGCTCGAGCACATGTTGCGAAAGCGACTCAGGACCATATCTTTGCGTTAGGCTGGGAATTTCTTCCGCACGCGACGTATAGCCAGACATGGCGCCTTCCGATTACTACCTATTCCGGTCGCTGCAGCATCATTTGGCTGATACACATTTCGTGAGATTTGAAGAGATACGAAAATGCGTTGATGACTTTATCGCTTCGAAGCCGGTGAGCTTCTATCGTCAAGGAATTCGCAAGCTACCCGAAAGATGGCAAAAGATCGTTGATGCAAACGGCGAATATTTCGCTGATTAATATTTTTTTGTTTGTTTTTGAATAAAGATTGAATTTTACAAAAAAAAGCTCAGAACTTTTTTGTACACCTAATATAATTTTTGAAATAATAAAAATAGATATGATACGAAATTTTTCTTTGTAAATATTCCTTCTGCAGCTACTCCTATTATATATTAATAAAAATCGCATAATATCTTAAAATTTTAAGTTTAAAGATATTAACATATTTTAACATATTATATATGAATCAGATGTCAAATCAGATAGATCTAGTTGTTTCTGATAGCTGAGTAATGACTATTATAAGAATTATTTTACACTTTGTGATTTATTGACAGATATCTTACTTTCTGGTACTTTTATAAGTTTTAAGAATATGAAAACATGTTTTTAAAGAAGTACAAAATAAAACTATATGATGCAAAAAACTTTTTCATGTTATTTTTCACCTCTGATGTCACATAACCCATGTCGAGCCGAAAAAATCAAGCTTTAAATCACGAAAATATAATGCATCTTAATATAAAGATTGTACTAAAATTAAAAATTTTTGGATTTTCAGAAATCACAATTCCGAGATCTTCAAAATACAAAAATTAAGTCTCAAAAATTGGTAAAAAAATAGAATAGAAGAATCTAATTGGTAAGAAAACTGCAATAGTTAAAATTTTATACATATGTATATGATAAAGGATAAAAATAAGACAGATTTGTAATTTTATAGTTTATTTCCTTGAAAATTTTGGATTATGAACACGACAGAAAATTAAAATTTCATTCTGTGTGGATACTGACTGCTTCGTAGTCCAAACATCGCTGACAGATAAGTGAACAGTAACTTTTTATCTTTATGTTTTTTAATAGCATTAATTATCATTTTGTCAACTACTTTCTGATCAGCTATCCTCTGATCACTTGGTTTATATTCTTCTTTCTTTTTGCTGAAGATGTCACCTTCTTCTTTCTTTGCGCGCTTGTCGCGTTTCCTCTGGAAATAATTATCAGTAAGGTGCTGAGGCAATTTGATGCCAAATAAATTCAATCTCGTGGAAGTAGCAATCACATAATTTTGACTGACTCTTCGCAAAGGACAAGCATTGATCAGGAATGGGCCTATAAATTTATTAATAATAAAATAAATTATAATTCATTATTATACTAATTTGTTAACAAAGTATAAAAAAATAAAACTTAAAATTCAATAATAAGCATACCGGTAATTAAAAGTAAACCACTCTTCAGTTGTTTCAAAAAGACCACTCTCTTTCCTTTATGAGGACCAGCCAACAGAATACAGACTGTCCCTGGTTTCAGAGAAGGTCTCAAATAACGACGATGTTCATGGAAACATTTCTTAGCATGATGTACGGTAACGCGATCAGCAGTAGGATAGTTAGCACGTCTCTTTTTTAAAAGCACAATACGCTTCTCTCCATTCTTATCACCACCGATCTGCTTTTCAATAGTCAATGGTTTCTTCGGCTTGACCTATAACATATCCATCTCTCAATCCAAGTCAAATTTATATATTTTGAAAATAGAATATCTTCAGTTAATTTTTCATAGTTTTGTAATTAATTTAAAGAATCAGAATTTTAATATTTTAGAAAATAATTATAAAATATTAATTATGTTTTACATATTATATTAAATTAACTGCTTACTTTTTTGGGTGTTTTCTTGTCAAGGAATTTATAAATGGCCTTCTTGTGGTACATGCGAGTACGGCTGAACCTGTAAACGCCATTTCCTAAGTCATAATTCCTTGGCGGTCCCCTAGTAGATTTGCTTTTCTTCTTTGCACCTTCTTTGGCTGCAGCTGGTTCAGCTGCAGCCTTTTTCTCCGGAGTTTGAACCTTTATCTCCACCATCTATAAAAATAAAGAATCAAGGTAGATTTAATTGTCGAAACTAAAACTCTACAGACAATTACCTACATCTAAAAATTAAATACAATTTTATTTCATG